ACACACACACACACGCACACAGGGATTAAATCAAACTGCTGCTCGCTTATGTCAAATGTGATATTTTCTCTATCAGTAGAGATCTACTCAGCTGTCAGTCATTCACTGCTGTTAGAGAGAAAACTATAAATAATGGAGTTCAGGAGAAAAACTGTGAAGCTCTTACAAAGCATAATAAATCCATAAATAGAGCTTAAGACATGCATGTAATTCATAAATATAGTGAATTATCTGATGGTGGTGACCGTCCTTTGGGAAAATGAGATTCAGGTAATGTTTGGATTCAACATGAAATGCAGGTTATTCTCCAGCAGCAGTCAGAATTATTCCTGTGGATTAGGGGTGGGGTCCCCCGGACGGGTGCAAGATGACTTCCCTAAATCAAATAAAAATTAAAGGCAATTTGAAATAGTTTATTTTAGCCATGCTTGTTAAAAAAAGATTTTTAACAGGAAACACGGAGACACCTGCACGATGGAGATTCTTTTAGCTCAGATAATTGTTTTCTGTATGTTTCAACCAACTCCAAGGATGATGGGAGTCACATGTCTTTACTTGGAGGGTTAGAGTCTGAAATGTTTTGAAACCTGTGTTCTAAAAGATTTATTTACTACACATATATATAAATCAAAGGTTTTCACATAAACTTTTTCTTTTGACTTTTCTCTCTACCTTAGTGAGTTCTCTGTGTTGTTTGCATGTGGTGGGGTATGGTAGCCATGTTAACCAGAACAACAAAGAAAACAAAGCAAACGCTGCAAAGTGATAAACCTGCAACTGTTCTCTGTCACCTTTCGTCCTCCTCCTTCACTGACACGTTAGAAACTAGAGTTCTCTCCAGCTTCGTGAATTCATCCTCTCACACAACCCAAACAGAGGATAATTCAATTCTAGGTTAAAAACAGCTGATGAGAAAAGAAAAATCTCATGAATTCTCTCTCGTTATGTTCCTGTGAGATGCAGGAACAGATACTGAAGAGGAGACTGTTGAAAGTCTCTGGCAGGTGTGTTTATTCTGAGAAAGAAAAGGCGGAGCTGAAGATAAGGCATCTGTTTGTGTGTCTTCAGCTGAGACGGAGGATGTGCTGTTGAATGCAGCAGATACTGTTCAAATAATGCTTTCAAAACATGTCACATTCTCTCAGCACCAGTGTGTGTTTCAATCAGTTTGAATACATTGAATAAACAAGTATAGTCTTTCCTCTCTGTGTTTTTAATTATGATGAACTGCTGAAATCAACAAGTTTGTAATATACAACAATATTCAAGTTATATATTATATATAAGAAAGTGCCTGATTTACTGCTTTGTTGTATCATTGGAAATAAATTAAGCCTTGAATCTTAATGCAACCAAATCACAACTTTTGATGGCTACTTACCAACCATCTGTCTTATTACTACACCCTCTGATGTAGTATAAGGACAATAGTGCAGGAAGTGTCTGTGAATACTGGACTGGTGGTTCATTCTATAGATGATGTCAGACAGAGGCTCCATATGCAGCACAGTCTCCAGACTAGAAAACGGTCTAAAGCTTTTGACTGCAGTGTAATTTACTATAAGAAATTAATATTCTGCTTTCCTTCTTTCTTTCTTTCTTTCTGTGTGTGTCCTTCAGAGCGCACCAACTCTAAACCCATTCTAACCGGCACTCACCCTGTCAACACCACCGTGGACTACGGTGGAACAACGTCTTTTCAATGTAAAGTTCGCAGTGACGTCAAGCCGGTCATCCAGTGGCTTAAAAGAGTTGAGCCCGGTGACGAGGACAAATTCAACTCCACCATAGAGGTACGAGCCCCGTCTGCCAAAAAACACTGCACTCCAGATTATGGGTAATCTGAGTGAATGAATCAATGCATTTGTACTTTTTATTCAAAGGTTGGAGACCATCGCTTTGTGGTGCTGCCGACAGGAGAGGTGTGGTCGCGTCCCGATGGATCTTACCTCAACAAGCTGCTGATAACCAGAGCCAAGGAGGAGGATGCTGGCATGTACATCTGCCTGGGAGCCAACACTATGGGCTACAGCTTCAGGAGTGCTTACCTGACTGTGCTACCAGGTCAGAGGAAGAACGAGACAAAATCTATGTGTATTTAATTCTCTGATTTAAAACATTAGAACTGAAGATGGTTGACCAGCAGGTTTGAATAGAGCCAGTAAACTTATTACTAATGTGAATGCAGGATACATGCTGCTCGACTCACCAAACAAACAGTCATACTTGGATCTATACGAGTGTGTTACATTCAAACCTAGATAAACTTATTTTTATCTATTCGTCCTTTATTTAATTTGCATCTCTTTTGTTCTTTCACAGATCTGAAGCCCCAAATCAACTCGGTCCCCATGGCGACATCCCCCGGCCTCCCCTGGCCCGTCATTATTGGAATACCAGCAGGTGTCGCCTTCATCTTAGGCACCGCCCTCCTCTGGTTCTGCCAATCTAAACGCACCTGCTCCTCCTCCTCCCCGTCTTCCTCCTCCGCTCTGCCCGCCGCCCAGCGTCTACCCGTGGCCAATCGTGACCGAGCCTGCCTGACGCTGCCCGCTCAGCAGGCCAACGGGGATAAAGATTGCCTCTCGTACGAGGACTACGTCGCCCATCAGCAGCTGCTCCTGGCTCAGGGTGGAACCCCGTCGGCTCCGAAGGTCTATCCCAAGATCTACACGGATATTCACACGCACACACATTCGCACGTGGACGGGAAAGTGCACCAGCACCAGCACATTCACTACCAGTGTTAGCAGCGAGGCTGTGGCGGCGAGCGTTGGGTGTTTTTCACTTTCATCTCTCACGTGAGCATGTTCCTGTGCAGCAGTCCACACTAACTGCTGACGGACAACCACATGTTTGGAAGAAACATGGGATCACTCAGTTCTTCCTCATTTCGCTGCAGCCGTGGACTCAAGACACAGACGATGAAGAATGTAAAGAGAAAACACAAAGATCTTTATTTTGAACCACGCCATCGCGATCTACGAGAGAAAAAAACCCAAAGAACATGTTTGAATCAAACCTCCTGTGGAATAAAATCTCCTGTGTAAATGTATAAATCTCTAACCGTGTTGCTCAAAGGCCTCATGAAGCAACAGTGAACTCAGCAACAGTTTTACAGCAAACCAGCAATTTATCTGCCTCTGTTCTTTCAGTACAACCACAACCTCCTCAGTACGAACGCAGCTCACTGTTCACTACAAGCCTCCAAATATAGCTACTCGTGTATATAGTGGAATATGATTATATGGATTTTAGCATGCTACGTCGTCCTGGATAATCTATAAAGAACATTTAGCATGTGTGTAATGTAACAGTGTAACTTCAGAGTATATCTCTATCCTCGGCCCCACTGAGCCATAAGAACCACGACTGGAGACTAACTCCTGCGTACCTGCACCTCCAGCAGAGATCAGGCCAGCTGGGTTTTCCTCAGGCCGACAGCTGTTCTCAAAAATGATCCAGCTTCTATCTGCTGGAAAAGAGCTGATATCAATCTCTCCGCAGCTACGATGGGATTTCTGCTAAAACCGGGGACCTCCTCTCCCGACAGCGGTTGCGGAAGTAATCATTAGATCTCTCCAGACTCTTCATAAGTCGTTTGCGCCCAGTTTTTACTTCCTGCAGAATGGTGGCATTTCCTGTTTGCATTGTCTCCCTTTACGGCTTTTGTTTGATGCTTGCAGACTTGCGAGAGGAGTTGAAGGATATCGGCTCTCGTCATTTCATAGGCACAAAGGGATCATCAACGAGGCCTCAGTGTAAAACGGTGCCTCTGAAGAATTGCTTCCAGATTTCATGGATCACACTCGGCTCTGCGGATAAATCACGGGTCCTTGTTAATCTGCTATATGGTTTAGAGGGCTCAAAAAAAAAGAAAGACTTAAACTGTGTAACTCGAGGATGAGACTTGCAACTGTCAACTCTTCAAGCAGCACACAGGTCGAGCTGTTTGTGTTTGGGCCTCGACAGACTGTTGTCTCCTCCTTCTCACCCTCAGTACCGATTGTCACCCAGAACTTGGAAAATGTCCTTTAAAGATACTTTAAGGGTAAAATAATGCAATACAACTGGTAACTGAATGGAATACCAATATTTTTTATCATTACGCTGAGTGTCTTTCCATTTATAAACTTGTCTGGCACATTTTTTATTCAGTCGTCTGCAGAGTTAATGCTCACTATACAAACTTCCTTGACAGATTTGAAATAATAAGATCTAAAAATGCTTTTCTCTGATCACCGTGGTTTCATATTTACTCAATGCCAAAGCTGCGACACTGCCAGAGGTTTCGTGTTCACTTGTTTAAATACCTGAACCTCTCTACATGACTGTGTGGACCTGAACTGACTCAGACTTTTTCCCATCACTCTTCTTAAATGTTTATTGCACATTTTCAAGGTACTTTCTTCATCATAGTACATTTTCAACTGCAGAGCCATCTGTCACCCCGATGTGAAAAAAATTAAAATGTTATCATCAATTACATTTAATTTCATTTAACACCTTAAAAATACTTTAACGGTGAAATAATATTATATAACTGGTAACTGAATCGACTTTCTGTTTTGTTTTCATTTCATTTAAACGCCTACACATTTATAAACTCGTCTTTCCGTCTAATTTCACAAAGAGAGAGAGAAATATAAACATCAAAAAATGTTATAAATGGATTAACATGTGGATTTTAACATGTGATCTCCAAGTTTTCATATTTACTCCGTGCCAAAGCTCCTGCACAGCTGCAGTACCCTGCCACAAGAGCTGAATTCACTTATTCTAAGTATCTACACCTCTTCAACATTATGTTGCACTGTTAAAGGTGCTCTCTCTAATGCATTGACTTTGGTAAACTGCTGCTCCTCCTCATGGCCGTGGGTCCCGAACAGAGGTCTGATCTGCAAAACTGGAAACATCTGTGTGTCTGCTCGGAGCCTTAAAAGCATCAGTGAGGTCATGAGCAGCTGTGAGGACCAAAGAAATGAGAGCACGGAGATCCGAGGATGTTTTACTGGTCAGTGTAAGCTTGATATTTGAGATGATAAAACCCTGTGGACCCAAAAGAATCAAAATCACCTGTAAAACTAGCAACAGTAGAGTTTGACTGTTGTTAAGTACAATAACTCCCTGGATTTTCTTATTGGAAGTGATTACCACATTTTCTAATTTCTCATTTATTTAAATTACTTTTATTCTCAGTATATCTTTGCTTTAACGGTTTTAATGCCCCTAGTAGTGCTGGGACGTTTAGATTGACCAGGACCTCATATGACAAATTAAACTACAATAGAATTAGAGTAGAGTGCAAACATTCACCAGCAGTCACCTTACAAAGTATTTAAACTTCACTACATCCGGATATTTGTTTGGATCTGCACCAAATTACTCACACAGACATAATGTATATTAGGAATTTTTTTCCTGGGAAATTGGTTAAAATGTCAAAAAACATAATGAAAAATGAAAACAAAACGTCCTTGGTGGAGGTTAACAAATAAACCCTCTCAGTCCACGGCCATCTTTACCAGACTTGCTCTTTCTCAGGTGTCCATCTCGTCGTTTCTGTGTGTTCATGAATCTGACCACTAAATGAAAACTGTAAACCGAGACGCTGTGATAAGATTTAGCTTTCAGCTGTTTTACGTTACAGGTTTCTCTCACTCAGCAGTGAGGCAGCTGTGCAGAGACGTTTTAATAAGATACAAATGTGGGGAAATGTAGAAACGTGCTGTATATATGTGAAATATGAAAGAAGCTGTAGGCTTGTTATGTAGTTTTATATATTTGTACTGTATTTAGTAAACAGCAGGCTTTCTTCAGGACGTCTGAAGTACAACAGCGAGAACTTTAAACAACCATGTGATTCATTGAAATCACCTGGTTTCACATGGGGTCATTTATTTTTGCACATAAATCTTTAAACTCAAATAGAGAAATGTACAGTGTATTAATATGGATAAAGAAATATACTCCCATTTTTAAAAATAATACTCACAGGTACGTTTTTAAGTTGCCTCAAGAAAATTAGTTTGATACCTGTGGAGTTCTCGATGTGATTGTACTCTAATCTAGACCTCATCTGTACGACAGGTAACATTAACAGCATCTCCCCTGTATGAAGCCACAACATGAAAGCTTAATTCATGAGCTTCAGTGTTTCAGTTTGAAAACAGGACTTATTGATTTCAGTTTCTTTGCAATGCTTTCACTCAGAACCCTGCACTTGTACTCAAATAGCCTGCGCTTGTGCTTAGATTTGCCCTGCTCGTACTCAAACAGTGCGTTGTGCTCAGATACTTTGTCGCTTTGACTTTTCTGAATGAGAACATTTCCAAATCTGAACACAAGTCCTGCTTTCGAACTGAAAAACCACGCTCTTGAATGAAGACAAGAATAAACCCAGATGTTATTGGAAGGATGAAAACTAAAAATGTCTGCCGTCACTCACTTCTTTTATCGTTCTCATTTCACATGTTCAAACCTGTAGGTTTGATGTGTCAAAGCTAAGGGACTGCCAACTGACAGACTGTATGTATGTGCGCCAACCACTAGTATGTACATGAAACGGCATTAGTGCAACACATCGGCCCATGAAACATTGTAAATGCTAAATTGTCTCAACATTCATTAAGGTTGTGCTTCTTCAAGTGTGCGTCTAATTTATTTTCTTTAAAACATGTTTGTCATTTTTCATATAATTGGGCATTATACTGCATGAGTGGATTTTCTGTTATAGTCATAACGTAAGCTATGTAGCAAACGCCATGTCATTGTAAGATACTGTATTTATATATGCCGACAGAATATACAAAATTTTATCGATGATCTTTGTATCGACAATCTTGTACAGTCTCATCATCGTTTAGGATACAAAATATTTTCTCCCTTTGTAATCACGTTACTGGTGCCATTAAAACTAAAACTTAAACCTGTGATGTTGTCTTTGCTCTTAGCGTTTTGTTTTTCTCCTTTTTTATCGAATGTCCCAGATCTGCCTTCCTCTCCGCTTCAATTCTCCGTCACACAGACGAGGATTCCAGTCTTTAAGAGAATGTCCCTCTCTAAATAGCTGTAGCTCTTCAATTGTGAGGGCTGCAGCCAGCGTTTCACATGTCAACATGTCTGTCGAGAGAGATGACAGATGGACAAGCGTTGCGTGCAGACAGTGGGTGTGAAGGCCCAATGTCTCTCTCTCTCTCTCTCTGTGTGTGTGTGTGTGACTCAGTTTAGCAGAGGACGATGATGAAAGAAAAGGCCTGTTGAAATCATGGGGCACTGGAAAAGGGTGGAGGCCGACAACAAGGCCGGCCATGAGATCAGAATAAGAAGATAAACATAAGTAGTCAGTGATGAGTGTGCGTGGTTTGATTGCCGGCCATAAAAGTTCATTTCCTACATCCTGGTCACAAATGTTTTAGTGAGCGAGTGGCTCATGTGGAGTTTGGTGAACTTTGACCCGCGGTATTCGCTTCATGCCTTTAAACCATGGGAGCACCAGGCCCAGGGGTCATTAACCAAGGTCATCAAAATGCCTGCTGCACAATTGAAACACAACGTAAGAACAACCAGACTCCACTTTAGGTAAGTTTGCTTTTTATTCTGCATGTTTCCTTATTTCCTGTTTTATTTTGAAACTCACATCTTGGTCACACCGGCTCTATTGTGTCTCACCTGTCAGGTCATGTGACCTCTGGTCCACATTTTGACCAAATTTTATCATTGATATTCGAGGGTTTATAACAATGCTATTTTGAATTAATAATAATCAGAAGTTTGACAGTCAGATTAATAGTTTTTAACAACAGGTCAAACAGTAAAAATGTAAATAAAATCTGTCCGACTGAGAATGAAAAGAAAAGCTTTGCCAAAGTCTTCTCACGCCCTGTGTTGCTCCCCCTGTTTCTCCAAATGTCATTACACATTACATCAGACGTTAAATATAAAATGGACTGACACTGACCAGTTCCCACTCATGTATTAGATGTCCCAAATATGATCATTACTACAGATGTAGAGAACAGTTCTCATAATGTTCTGCATTGTAGAGGAGAAACAGGTCTGGGGGTTGAGCGGATATTAAATGTGCGAGGAAAAGGAAAAGAAGTCTGAGAAGGAAAAAAAGGAAAATATACAAAGAAGGAAAATACCTCACAGGAATTTGTGGTTTACGAAATTTCTGCAAAGTCAACAGTTACTCATGACTGTAAAACCCAACCCAGGGATTTACAAATCCTGGAACCTCCGGATTTCCATGCATCTGGAAAGCTTCACCGGTGATAAATAAATAGCAGAGCAAGTGATAGATAGAATTTAAAGCTGTGAAATATACTACACTCCACATTTTTGTAAGTGTGACATTTGAGAAGGAAAAAAAAAAAAAACTTTGCTGGGTTGTTTCCATCCTTGACATTCAACTCTCATTCTGTTCTTATCTCTGAGATTAGCCTGTTCCTGCTTTTTCTTTTTTAGTGTGTGTGCTCCTCCTGGGTTTATCTCCCGTGAATGTGATTGACTTGAAGAGTGAAGGAGGGAGAGGATGAAGGGGGGGGGGGGGGGGGGAAAGATGAAGAAAGGCAGCGAGGAGGAGGAGGAGGAGAAGGATACAGATCCGAGCTGCTGACAGATGCGTTGAGCTCACTGCTGAGGAGAGGAGATGAGAAAATGGAGAGAGGGATCGGCGGAGAGCGAGGAAGTGTCGAATGAAAGGGGAAAGAAATGTGCAGAACAGGAAGGTCACCTTACATCTTCAACCTTTCATTTTTCCACTTTGTCATTTTAATTAAAAACAAAATGTTTATAACATCAAAAGTCAGAAATTCTACCACTCTTCTTTAAATCATACTTCCACACTTTCCAATAACAATTTGATTACTTTCATGATCCACTGTGTATTTGTGTTTCACCAGGTGAAAGTCTCACTGAGATTATGAGCTTTCTCCAGAGAAGTCGGGTGAAGACGTCAGCAAACAATAAATGTGACTCAACGATAAACACAAACTCTATCGGGGCGGAGATCCTGTTACACTAAAGAGCTGAGATGATCCTGTTAAAACATGCGGGCAGGTATCAAGTCTCAAGTGACCATCTGAAATGAATTTGAAACAAAATGGAAATAATCCGTAACAAAACCAATGTGCTGTGACTAACGTGAAAATTGTGACATTATTTAAGAAGGTATTTGTTGTGAGAAGCGAGTGGGTGTTTAAAAACCTTTGAATTAATTGCAATGCTATGCGTACATGAATAAAAGTTACATCCTTAATCAGGCACAGAAAAAAAAAATAGGCTTATACAACTTTTCTATGGTTCTTCTTTCAATTTAGAAATCTGGAGTTTTGCATGGATGATACATGCAGCCTTTTTATTTTGATAATAAGAATAAATTGTATTTATATATAGTGTTTTTAACAAAACTCACGTTATATAAAAAAGCCAGTAAAATAAACAAGACTTTTATGCTTTACTTGTACAGTTCCAGTGAACTGTTGCTGGTTTAATACAATCAGTGAATGTACTAAAATCCTTCAGACATTGTTTATTAATCCACAGAATCCCTCACACAGAGAACATGCTGTCGTTTTGTAGACAGATGAATACAACATGAAGAGGATGCTTGAAGGTTATTACAAAGAACTGACTGCAGAAAAAAATATATAGAACAGCATCTTTGTCAGAGTTGAAGCTTTATGTTTTCAGTGTTTTGCAGGTTTCTCACCTCCAGTATGTGACACTGTCAGACAGGCTGAGCAGAAGTGTGTGAATCCACTGAGGACATTCCTGAGCTGCTGAGACGCAGGAGGAATCCTTTGTTAGCTTTAAGTCATTGTTTGTTTTTTTTCATTCCACAAAAAGCTTCAGAAAAAAATCTAAATTGTAATGATTGTTTAAAGCTGCGATTTTAGCAGGTGGAGCAGAACTTTAAATACCCACATCACTTCATACCAAACACAGGAAGAAAAAAGTTAGGAATGTTCCATATTCTCTCAACGCAGCAGCGCTTGCACGAAGCAGCGATTCATACATTTATCAGAAGTTCTTTTAGAGAAAGAAATGAAGCCGTCCCAATTATCTGTGAAACTCTTGTCCGCTGCCAGGACAAATGTTTAGTCCCTCAGACGTTGAGGCCTTGCAGGATCTTTTGCTCGCTTGCGGAGGGGTCTAGTGTGCGGTTGGCTGGTTTAAAGGGTGTGAACCCGTGGAGGAGATTCCTGTGAGCTTGAGTCAACAGCAGCTGTGGTTGGTGATGAGGAGAGGCTGTCCAAAGAGCTTTTCTACCGGCAACCGCCTTTTCACTGTGAAAAGAAGCGCTCAGGTGAATGGAGTCACTGACCATGAAGGGCTCTGACACACACACATACACACACACATGAGCATGAGAAAGAAACCATAAACACACAGTGTACAAGGAAAAATCCAAGATCTACAGTGCCTCTATATATATACACACACACACACACTCACCTGAATTATTGATTGTTTAGTGACGTGCATATGCAACATGTGCACGCTGGGGCACACACAAAAGCACAGATGCGTCACACACGGACACACACAGATGGGAACAACACAGACACCTGGCTGGCATTGAGGCTTCTCTTCTGTTTGCATACCTCTCCCTCTCTCCACTCATCCTCCACACGGCCACAAAGCTGCCATTAGAACAAGGAAAACAAAAACAGAAAAAGGAGGCTAACGGGGGGCAGCGGGCGGCTTCCATCCTTCTTCCACCCATCCCTCTCACTCCCTTCCTCCCTTTTCTCCTCTCTGTCCTCTGTACCAAATGTTAACCCCCCCACCACTATGAAAAGAGAGGGATGTGGACATACAGGGTGAGAAAAGAAAGAAGTCTGGCAGATGGGACGGGAGCCAAGGCCTTTAAAGTCTGCCACAGAGCCGTGACAAAAGCCTCCTAATCTCGGTGTTGTCTTTCGGCCCCTTTTTCTTCCCGCACATCCTGCCAAGTGTGTGTCTGTGTGTGTGAAAGCGAAAGAAAAGGAGAGGAAGAGAATCAGAGTCAGTGTGTGTTTTACAAGCAAGAGCGTGTGTGTATTTGTTTGGGAGAGCAGTAAAAGGCAAAGCAAAGTTGCTGTGCGTTTGTGTGAAAAGAGATTGTGTGCGATAAAGAAGCATTGTGTGTACACACATGTGTGTATGTGTGTATATGACAGGAAAGGAATCTTTCCACAGGCGTGCTGACATCACTCAAGCATGCATGGGACAGTTGGAGGAGGCCAGGCCCCTTCAAAGGCAACAGCCTGCCTTCACATGTGGGATGCCTGTGTGTGTGTGTGTGTGTGTGTGTGTGTGTGTGTGTGTGTGTGTGTGTGTGTGTGTGACCTCCTGAGCGTCCCTTCCTCATCCTGTAGATCCCTATCAGAGGCAGCTGTGATCCACAGACCTTCACACACACACACTCACACAGTGCAGTTATCATGATAGAAGACTGACACAGACTATAGTGCCCTCTACAGGACAATCAATTGAATGGATGATAGTAATATGCAGTACATTCCTGCACTTACAGAGCATTACCCCTTTAACTTTAACCCTGATCCATTTAACAGGCAAAGTATTTTACAAGGCGCTGGCCTGACAACTGGAAGTCATTTGGATTTTAGTGTCTTGCTCAAGGACACTTTCACAGATGAACAAGAGAAGCTGGGGATTAGACCGACAACCCTGATCTCGAACCCTGAACTGATGATGACACTACATTTTAAAAACAAGTTCTTAAAATTATCATCATGAAAACATAAATTACTGTTCTAAACGCCGTAACAATCAATTTAGTAGTTGCTAGACTAGTGACACCTTCTTCCTTACAGCCGTACAGTATTGTTGGTTCAATCCCTAGTTCAGTAGTGTCCAGGTATGAAAGATTTCTTTTATTTGTGCATTAATAGTTAACAGTCGCACAAAAGAAATGCATCGTACTATGTTTTATACCACTTTAACAAATTCACTGGAACAACCTTTAACACTTGCGAAGCATTAGATAAAAGCATTCCCATTACTACCTGCTGCAGACCTGTACATGTGTAAACTGAATTCACAAAGATCCAACTTTTGAGCATGTCACAAGAAAAGATAATAATACAAATATTTAAAAAATAGTATTTATTTGTTTGTGCAGCAGATATTTCTGCCTTCTTTTCTGAAACAAGTCGATCTATGAAAGGTACACATGGTGGTGTCTCTTTAAACTGCACTAAAGTGGATACTAAAAGAACATTGCAATAAAGGTTTGGATTCACGGTATAAGTGTAGAGTTAATTAAATGATATTCAGAAATAATCCTCCCTTTTTTTAAAGAACATTTTAAATCTTCACTAATCTTCCTCTGTGTTTTTTCAACACTAAAGTCAAACAATGAAGGTGATGGGGATCATAGATTACACATCACTGAGGAGCTACACAAGAACACTCTCTGCACACCTCAGGAAGACAAATAGCTCTCGTGTGAAATCATTTAGTTCATGTCGTGTCTTGCCTGGAGGGGATTACACTTCCAGCACCAAAGGCACAGGACTGAAATACTGAGTGACAAAGTGTGAAATCTGGATCAGATTAAGTGAGAAGCTTCTCTCTTTCTCTCTCTGTCTCTCTCACACACACACACACACAGAAAGATGGAGAGAGAAATGGGGAGAGAGAGAGGGAGGGGAAGACAAGCTGTGGGAATAGGCTGCTGAATAATTACCACTGACATGAGAATAGTTTTCTTTAGCTCTCTGAAGTGGCAGGGCTCATTTGTACAGCCTGGAGCCATGCAGAGGTGTGTGTGTGTGTGTGTGTGTGTGTTTGTGTGTGTGTGTTAAAAGCAAAGTAAGAGAGATATAGACAAAAAGAGAAAGGGAGATGTCTTATTGTGCGAGAAAAGTATCCAGAACAGTGGCTGAACTAAAAAGGTGTGTTTGCACGCACATCGTTACTGTCCAGCACACAAGATCATCCAGTGTGTGTGTGTGTGTGTGTTTGTGTGTGTGCTGGAGAGATTATTCTGATTTAGTCCTCTCCCTGTCAGTGTGTGACACCATGACAGCTTAGTCTGCCCGGAGCGGAGGGAGCCATTTCTCTCTAAGTGGACCTTAAAAAACAGGAAATGACTTTGGATCCCACTGAAGCATACAGGGGGATCAAGCCTACTGAGTCTGTACAATAGCCTTCAACTTCACACACACACCAGTAAGTGCCTGAGCATAGCGTGCACAGACCCAGAACACACACACACACACAGTCACACCTGAGCCCCCTTCAATTGACACCATTCACCACCCTGACAACCTGGGACAATGGAGGCAAAACGCAGGTCGACAAAGACCGAATCAACCTGTCTGAACACATCAGGCCGTCCTCGCCACCCGCTTCCACGCATCAGCTTTTCCCCATTGCGATGACTTCAGGTGATATCATGTTTCTAGACGGCTACAGTTTTCTTTGCCTCCACTTGTTTTGTAACAAGATTTCAGGGTGAAATCACGAGTCGTGTTACTGAGGTTACATGCAGCAGGCCAGAAGTGCAGTAACTTTTGTTGAGGGTAGTTAATGTATCGCTGCCTGAAGGCAACGTCAGTCCGTCTACCCTGAAAACAAAACCTTGTGGAATCCAGTAAATGGAAGTTTTTTTTTAATGAACATAATCCCAGTTGGTTTTTGTAAATTGAAAAGATGCAGCAGAGTGAGGATAACATCAAATTTTGCCTTTGGCTAAAATCTTGTGATGTTGTGACATGAGGCCTGTAGGTCTCTCTGCTGGATTACTGAAAGTAATACACTCTTACTACAACAACAAACAACCACAAAAGAATGAAAAGGCAAGGGAATAACTTGACCTTTAACTACACACCAGTCACCACCACAGACGTGACTGCACCAGAATGTATCTGCAGGATGATGGCAGCTAATCCCATAAAGAAAAACTTATGCCATAATTTGACCAGTTTAATTCATTTAGAGACTGAAAGTTGAATGTACTTGAATTTATTAATCAATGAACAGTTATATCGTGGCACAGGTTCAAGCTTAGTAAGTCTGATTTCACATGCTTCGTAAAAAAACATCCCACAAATCAGCTGGTGACTCTAATTTGCAAGAGGCATACCGCTGTCATGCACGGTACACAGAGGTTATGTACGTGCATATGTATGTTTCCTCTCGGGGCTTCATGTCAGTTTATGTCTGTGTGTTAGTTAAGGAGGAGGGCAGACCAGGGAGGACATGGAGTGTCTGAAGGAGGACAGAGGTCTGAAGAATGGTGTTCCCTGAAAACGACTGAAAGAGGAGAAGTTAGCAGGTGAGCAACATAATCAACGAATCAGAGTTAAACCAACTGAAAATGTAAAACAAAAATGCACTGAGGGAACTTAATAAACTAACTTTAATAGACTGTTTGAAACTTCATACATAAGTTTAGAGATATGTACTGGATATGTAAAGACATTATGCAAAGATGCGTTTACGGAAATACCCAAATTGATGAAAGATATTAAATAAACACAAAAATGTAATAAATGAAATTAATCACCTGACTGTTGCTGAGCGAGCAGAGTGGTTGGCCAGTGTGTTCTGATTGGACGATCTGTGAGAGACGGAGCCTAAATATGACACAAAAAGTAGATTTACTAAAATCCATAAAATACAATAGCATATAATGGTTTTATAATAAAATAATAATATATATACATGACATAGTTTTGGGTCATTAGAGGCTCATGTGTCACTTTCATTTGGAAAAGCCTCCAAGAAGACAAGATAAATGGGTGAATCATCTTTCAGAGTAATCAGTAGCTCATATTTTTCCCTTCACACAGACTAACAGGTTGTTACCTAACAGGGGTACCCTTAAAGGTTCAGTGTGTAGAATTTAGTGACATCTAGAGGTGAAGTTTCATATTGCAGCTAAATAATCCTCATCTCACCCTCCCCTTCCCAACATGAACGAGAACCTGTGGTGAACTTCAGTTGTCATGAAAACTCAAAAGGTTTTAATTTATCCAGTTTGGACGAGAGTAAAAAAACATGGCGGCCTCCACAGAGAGGACCCCCCCCCCCTCCATGTAAATATAAAGAGCCCATTCTATGGTAAAGAAAACAGCAATTCATACAATTTAGATGAAACACACCAGTGAAAACATCACTAGGATTGTTTTCTATTCAATTTCTGCCAAAATCACCTAAATCTTACACACTGAACCTTTAAAAAACCCGTTCATTCCGATGCTGGTTAAAAATTGCAGTATTCTTCATTATGTTACTTACTCAACCACACACTTCAACAGATATAGTGAGAATCTACAATTGCAGTATGGCTAATAGCATTTCAGGGCTGTCACCTAACTCATCCACCATAACTGAGGTTAAATCCCTGAAGAGATTGACTCAGGAACTCAGCCTGTATGATCCTAAACATAACATCTGACAACATCTGCATTAGTTTAATCACAGTGGGTGGTCTATCCTCGTGTACGTAACCCCCAAACAAAGGTTGGGACTGCCAGGTGATTTTGTGAGATGTTTACAGGGTCATTATGTGTCTATATGATTCCTCAAAAGTACATTTAGCACGAGCCATTAGTATCACGCCTGTATACACATTAAACGAGGAGGGAAGTGAAACCACAGATCCAGACAATACTGGTATAATGCTCTTTGCATTGACGTAAAAGAAGCAGATAGTCTTTCCAGAGAGAGAGGAATAGCTAAAGCAGATACACAGTGATGGCCAACACACACAGACTGCATTTCTCCTTATAGTTAACAAGTACAGTTTTATGACAGGCAGAGCAAAGCGCTTACCCATGCCTTCATCCTGTGGAGGACTGATTAATGACAGTCGAGGCACAGTCTTAGACTGAAAGATAGAGAGACAGAGGGAAATGGCACAAATCATGACTTTTAATTTGCTTGTTCCTGTCAGTTATTTTTATTTTCCACTACTACAGAAATAAATCAAATCCCAAGATGCAGTGTGAGTAATGTGTGAGAGCTTATATGTTACGGTATATAAGACAAAAAGCAGATATGCACTTTAACTTTTAGAGAAATAATTGAACTTACTTTCCTGAACAGACTTCTTTCATCCACCTCCATTTCTTCAGTGCTACCAGACAGGAAAGCACACTTCATTAGTCTTATTTCTATTGGCTGAAAGCTGCAGTGGTATCTTAACTTTTTATAAGCAGCCTAAAGAGCTGCAGGTTTTCAGTCCACGTGGCTTATCTAGGTAATGTTAGATTTATTAAAAGAATAAAAAAAAGTATTTTAAAGGGCACCCAATAAAATAAATGAATCATCATTACTATACAAATCACATTGAGCTATGTTTAAAAAGCCTTGCATGACGTCTGTGTGTAAATAAATCACCAGCCCAGCATCATCCCTTTAAATGAGAAATTAATTCACTCTTCAGGTAATTTTGCAAATATCTGCAGGAGAAAAACTTTAAGTCTCAGTGGATAAAACAACATTTACACCATTACACTCTGGCAGCCAATCAATCCTGTGTCAACGGTGTCTAGGAAACCTGACAGGGATTCCTGACTAAACCAAAGAAAACCTGAGCTTATTCAGGTGTCTGTGTGTATGTGCGTAGATGGCCGAAGGGCAAAGCTATACAGCAGCTTAAGCTAACACAAGCCACCGGGGCTGAACCCAGGTTATAGCTTGTTTACACTGTTAAATACCTTCTACGTTCTCTCTCTGTAAAGAGGTGAGAGACAAAAGGGCAGAGTAAAAAAACAGAGCATCAGACAAGGTGACGAGAGCAGAACAGAGGAGACCGGGGTTGATAATGTGAAGAGGGGGAGTGAAAATTCGAGAGGTTCAATACTCACACGTTCGTGGACGAGGAGTGTCGTGAGGGGCAGAAGGGGGAGTTATAAGGGATCTGCAAGACTAACAACAAAAGTTTTATTAACATCAACAGCTGCTATATACTGTAATTGATGAAGAGACATCAGAGTTTCAGGTGTTGCTACATAAGCCTGCTACTGCAGCTTTCCCCTTTTTGTACCGCTAGCCAGTTCAGAGTGTTTCAGATTAATGCCACAAAGATGAATGATGAATGATGAATGCATGTCATTAACCTGTGGGATTATTTACCTGGTTTGTGTCCATGCGGAGTATGAGAACTCTGGCTCATTTGAGACACTGATGAAGCTCTGACACTGGATGAGAACAGAAACATCCAAGGTTCATGGGTTTCAACAAAACAGACAGAAGTCACAGCTGCTTCAGACACAGTTTGAGTTGGTGTTGAATGACAGAACAGATGAGGACCCTAACAGGACTGACGCATGATTTATTGATACTAATCTTTCAAAACTCATCAACGAGGATCCTCTTTCTCAGAAAGTGGCACAAAAAACAATAGGTTCATTATTTGTTTTCTGGCCATCTGAAAAAACACTCCACTGTCCCTTTAAACTCATTGAGTTCTTGCTGAGGCAGACCAGGAGTGAATGTGCCAAGAGTGACACCTGGTGAGAGGTGAAGCATAACAGTCAGCTCATTGTGAACTTTATAAACTAAAGTGCAGCCAAATCCAACAAGTCAAACTCCAAGATCTAATTCCAAAACATTAAAAGTTTTACTGCCTCATAGATCCAGTTTTTTCCATCTGTTTATCCTGCGAAGTATTACAATCAATGAGGCCTGAACATGCCAAATGACACCTGATATTGTACGATTATCATGCGTCAATTGAGGAAAAAAAAGAATTTAACGATGGGAAATTTAAATGAAACAGTCAAATGCTTTTTGGTAAACTCCTTGGATAATTAAACATTTTTCTGGATGGTCTGTTTTGTGGAACTATAAAACACTGGTTGATTACCCTGCACAGTGGCTGTTAAAGTACTAAAACTCGCCAGATACACATCACATTTACAAGCAACAACAATCCGTTTGCTCTAAAACATTAAATAGAGTTATTTATTTTAAAAGAAGATTGGATGGGTTGCTTATCTTTCTTAATAGAACACCAGGATGTGTATGTATGTACTCTACGTACCTCTGATGCTGAAGGCGGTTTTCTAGTTTTGCGATGTAGGCGCTCTGTTCATTCAGCTTCCTTTAAAGGGAAAAGAAATAAAAAGAAATAAAAAGTCACCCACATTCTGAAGATTTTGAAGTCTGTGTAAAAATACAATATAACTTACTTCGTCATCTGCTG